TGTGTGGAATAAGAATGTCTTTGACAATTTAGCTGGCAAAAGACACGAAAAATCGTCGATTCTTTCGTATTTGAAGCAATTTGGAAATCGAAGCGGAATAGAATTTAACATTAGTAAATAATATAAAATAAATATTGAAAATTATAACGAGATAGTTACGGTTAATAGATATATTATATCTAAATAAATAGATGTTATATGTTTTTATCAAAGCAAGAATTGGCATTTAGAGGGCAAAGGAAACCTATTGAAACTAACAACAGAGGTAATTATATTGAACTTGTTTATTTATTAAGTACGTCAGATAAATAATCTATTAAAAATACATTTAAAGAAAGAATTAACTGATTGCCCCTGGAAGTCGGCTTCTTATAGAAACACAGCTTCCCTATCATCAAATATCACGGCACGCCCCTAGTTTCTACTGTACTATTTTAGATGCGATTTTTGGTTTTTATCTGCGTTTTATTATGGTATGCCATGAAAATGCACAATAAGAAAGGATTTTTCGAAATTCCCCTGCAAGCGGAAAGAGAAAAGATTTAGTCTTCATCGAGTACTTAGGTGTATTAAATTAATAACATTTCAGACATTGTTATAAATATTTTTATACATTTCGATTTTTTAACCAAATGTTCTAACCGTTTTAAATTCGAATTTGTTATTGCATATCGGTTCGATTATAGAATGACTAGGAGATAAACCTGGCATTGCTCAGGCAAAAAGTAACTATAGCGAAGATTAAGATTATTACATTACAGCCAATCTTACCCGTTTTCACAGAATGCAACAACTAGGTTCTCTGTTTCCAGACTAATTAAAGCATTTTTAGATGTGTCAAAAAATTATTTTCGATTTTTTGCAAAAACGCTAAAAACCGCATCTACGCCTGTAAATCTTGCACGTTGCTTTCTCTTAATATTTCCATTGTTAACACTTCCATTGTTGAAGCCTTAAGAAGAAATTTTTCGAAATTTCCCCGCGGGGGATTTCGAAAAATCCCTTATTAGTGTGCGTTCTCGTGACGTACCCTGACTCTGTACCAAATTTCAAGATTCAACTCCTAACCGCACTGAAATCCTCACGATGAAATGCTCGTATACACAAGCCCCACCTATTGTAGGATAAACGTACTATGCTAGAAACCTTCGCGGGAGTGTACTAAACAACTTTTCAAAGTTTCGTGGCAATCGGATAAATTGTGTAGTAATTCATGAAGGACAGACAAACATACGTTTGTTTTATATATATATATATATTGTCAACGTTCCAGAAATTAATCAAATTGAAAATACAGTAGAGCGTCGATTTTTCGAATCAATTGAGGACTGCGGTTGTCCGGATAACTGATATTTCGGATAACTGATTTACGTACGAAAAAATAGTTTAACGTATCCGATGTCGAAATTTTTCTCCGTAGCGTGTCGCTTCGCGTTGAATTTTCGTCGATGTTAAGCGTAACGAAGACTATTGTATCGTTAAAAATTATTTTTTTATTTTGTACAAACAAAATAAATATATTGAAAAATATAAAAATAATAAAAAATTATACTTCAGATGTTAATTTAGTATCAAAAACGTAAAATATTTGAGTAGCCCAAGACATAGCCAAAGATTGAAGGCCACAGCACTGGCGAAAATTTAAATTTGCCGACTGGAATTCTTTCGGATGATTGACGTTTCACATGATTGACTTTCGGAAAATCGACGCTCTACTGTAGTTCGTTTGATTTTCAGCAATTCTCATCATCTCAGCGGTAAGTGTTATGAAACAATTACTGTGGTTGTTAAAATACTGAATATAAATAGGGTTTGTTTGCAAAACTTCTGCGGGCAAAGTCGCGGGTAACAGTTAGTAATAAATAAATCTAAAAGAATTAAATAGCAGTAACTGAAATATCGATGTCTACAAGTAAATAATAACTGACTTACTTCTGAAGCAGATCGCCAAGATATTCTGAGTTATGATATTTTGAACATTTGTATAAGTCTTCTTCCTTTAAAACTCGCTTTCTTCCCTCGTTTATTATTGGAAAAATCCAGCTGAAAAAATAATTTAATTATTTAATTAATGTTGCCGTACAACGCAATGAACGATTTTTATCAACTCAAATAATTTATCGTAATTGATTACAATGATAACGATCGTAATCGATTTTTGCGTAATATTTTACCAAGCACTGACGTTTAAATTTTGCTATTTATTTTTTTTAGGAAAAAAATAGTATAATCGTTCAATGATATTTTTTCAGTGTTTCCTGAAAAAAGAAATGCATATACGTTGAATAATAAATATTCTAAAGAAATTAGCAACCAGTTGCTTAAGTTTTCCGGAAACAGTTGGTGGCGCCATCTGTTACGCTATTTTATTACGAAACATTTTACATTTTTTAATTATTTTTAAACGGCAAAGAGTTTAATTTCGAGGATAAAGACAAATTTTATAAAATAAATTATAAATGCTAATAACGAGTAAAATCGTCATCAATTCTGACCCTACTCGAGATATGACACGATTTCTTTTTCTCTTCACCTGTTCTATTTTAACGACTAAAATTTTATAGCATCAACCGCCTTGTAAGTCAACCATCGTACAAAATCTTAGAAAATTTTGACAAATGACACGGCAGTTATTAAGCATTAAAAAAGGGTGATAAAAAACCGTGCTTTCTACACACATTTATACATACACAAATACAAACTACCGTATATACATAAAAAATGAATTTTTTCGTATTTCTGGCCGTTTCAAAGTCCCGTGTCCAAACACCGAGTGATCTTGGAACTCCAAACTTACTTTTTGTCCGATGATCATACTTTTTCTCTGTTATATATAACAACCAGGAAAGTAAAAACAGCTAAGGACATCAAGTAAATTTTAAAAATTACTAACTTTATAATTAATTACTTTACTTTTAAACAAGTTACGTGCATCAAAATTTGATAGTGATTCTCAATTTGAAAATTTTAGAAAAAATCAGTGCCAATTCAACATGTTGGAACTAAGAAAAAAAAATCGAAAATAGCAGAAGGAGAGAGAAAACAGCAATCCTGACAGATACACCATACAAGCAGCAGCTGATGGAACAACAAAAACAATCAACAACAGTTTTGGCACCCCAGGAAAACGGCCTTTCTTTATGGAAAGAAGTTTTGTAAAATTAAAAGTTACAGGCATCAGCAAGGGTAGGCCAAACAAGAAACGAAAGGCAAATGACATAGAATGTGGAAGATTTCTGCATCTATAGAGAGTTCGGTTAAATGTAGCCGTTATGATAAATGGGCACACTGTTCTTCTACCAATATTGAAAAAAATGACAGTTTAACTATTATAATTTGTCCTTCTTCTATATAAAAATAATATCCCCATCTTACCCCATGGGTGGGGCAAGATGGCGCGTATACATATAATTTTAATATATTAAATTCTCTTGTTTTTAAAAACGTTTCTCAAAAATTAAACTTTGTATTATATATTATCAAATGTTGTACTTCTCATCAAAGTGGTTATCATTTTATGACTTTTCTAACCTTAACGTTTTCATCTTGCCGCAACTTTCCCTATATCCGGTAATTCGAAGAGTGAACTCAAGTACCAAGATGAAAAGTGGGTATTGAGGTTATAGAAATGGCTTGTGGCTAATAAGTTAGAACTGTCTGTAAATTAAATAACACGGTGGCGATACTACTTAAAGGTAGCTTGTCCAAAAAACTGCCGCCGAACGTCAAGTTCAACGATGAAAATATAAAGCAGGGTGTCCAACCTTTGTTGTACTCTGGGCAACATTGCTGGATTGAGTTTTGAATATTTTTTATTTTTGAAATTATGTCATTCTAGAGCAGGGGTGTCAAACACTTTTGTTTTTCTGGGCCATATTGGAAGAAGTAATGAAGTTCTGGACCACAAGTACATTTAAGGATTAACACGTGTAAATTATAGTAATAAGTGTTAAAACTTTATCACGAAAAAATATATCTTAAAAGATTACTTTTACAGACACTTTCAATTTTTACTTAGAAATAGATAAATTCATTTATTATAAAGGAGACAAACGAAAAATTTATTTGAAAAACACAAATATTTGTTTTATTTGGGTCTCTAATTAATAAAAAGCGACAGTACACCATTTTAAAGTGCATTTTTATTCAAATAATATGTTTATATATAATATGTAGCCCAGAAAGTAGCCAATGCGTCAAATGATAATTTTTAACAAAAAAAAACCAAAAAAAATTTTTATGCCAAAGTAAAAGAAAGTAGCCAAATTTGGCGCAAATTAGCCAAATCTTTCAATGTTGGAAAGTATACTAAATAAAGCTGGTAATGGGATTCAAAGGATTATAGACCCAAATTTGAGAAAAGAGGAGAAAGGCCAAAAGATAAAAGGTAATGAGAAATGTTAAATAGACCTTCTGTTATGCAAATATTGACCCTTAATTTTTCATCTTTCCTCACTACTTTTTATCTTTTGGCCTTTCTCTCCTTTTCTCAAATTTGGGTCTATAATCCTCTGAGTCACAACTCCAGCTTTATTTAGTATTTCTTCGTCATTCACACGTTTCTAAGTATTTGAAAATATTTCCTTTTCACTCAAAAATAAAATATGTATAAAAGTTTACGGCTTTGTGAAACTTGTTTTTTGATTTTCTGCCGTTGATATAAATAAATAAAAAATAAATAAAATAAAACAATTTGTCGGTTTTGTTTACACGTTTATTGGGCCGCATTCAAACTTGCCTTGGGCCACGGGTTAGACACCCCTGTTATAAATGTTTTCGACTCGGTTTAAATATCTTGGTGTCATAATCCTGACCAACATGAGTATAATGCCAATGTTACTTATATCGCAGAATGGTGTAATAAAAGCCTTTGTATGTTAAATCAGAGCATAAGAAAGAATTACGCTCCAGTTTCAGGACTTTGTGTATTTTATATTAGAGCTCATTTCTAAGTGTTTTAACTTACGATATCTTATCATAGTAAAACTTTATGTAAACCATTGAATACCTTCTTAGGGTGCACTAAGTTGATGCATACCTTTTGAGTGAACATTTTTCAATATTTTGAGAGAAGTTTATATTTGGAATATTCTTTAACTCTATGTCATTATTAAAAATTATACAATCCAACATAAAGTGTTGGAGGGTGTCGACAGCACCAGACTGACATAGATCATTATCGATCAGATGAAATATCTTAACAGTTGTAGTATGACCCGTTTCTTTAAATACATATATTAGTTTTATAGTTTTATTGGTGTATAGATATATATTGATTTTATGTTAAATGAATGTATTATGACGTTAGGTCCCAGTTTTTAACTTAGTTAAATTAGTTATAAGTTTCATGGGACTCTACTATACTTTATTACATAGTATTTTAAACTTTATTTATTTACAAGTATAAATATATAAGGGTTTTCCTGGCTTGCACCTAAAATGTAAAATAACTTAGCAATTGTTTTAATTTTATTATATTTTAAACTTTATTTATTTAAAATTGAAAGACTATTATAAACTTTACTTTTTCAGATCAAATGAATTTTATCCACCAAAAGAGGTTTTAAATCCAAAAGAGTTTGATGTTCCATATCCATTTGGAATAGATCCTGTAAGTTTCTTAAAATTACATCTAAGATTTTTATTTAAAACTGATGTCAAAGTAAATTTTTTTTCATAAATTATCATAGTTACTCATATAATCCATTTTTGGAAAAAAATTGTGATTTGAGTGCATAGTTTGAGTGCATAGTTTATTTGAAACATTCAGTGATGCAACCCACAAATTTACTAATTACAGTTACTAAGTCTTTTGCTTGCTTTGCTAGTGATAACAATAATTGATTGTTACAAGCAATATTATTAAATGTTTTGTTATGACCAATTTCATGAAATTGTTAAAAATTTTATAATTGTGAATTAACAACATATTCAAAAGATTTTATAAAAATATATTTTTGTGTTCATTTAACCATTCCTTAGCAACAACTATGCATTTATGTTGTTTAAAAATTCAATGTAAAATTGGTCTGAAACTGAGTAATAGCTCAAGAATGTGCTTTTCAATATTGTGAAATCATTTGTCATTACTCTTTTAAGACATTCTGTTTAATTTGATATATATGAATACTATCTTATAAATGTGGAACTTGTATCCAAAGTCTAGCATTACTTTTAGTATTACAAAGTCTTTTTCTTTTAGAAACACCTGTGTATGTATGGTAGGTCAGTGAAAAAATTGTTTACTTAAATGAAAAATGTTCATTTTTCTTTCAGCATTTGAATTTATAGCACATTAATTACTTCAAGAATAAGCAAAGTACAAATAAATGAGAAATATATGCCAGAAACAATGGAATTAATGGAATTAAGTAGGAATGTTATATTGGGTTCCTTTTGAGCTTATTTAGTTTTTTGAATATATGTAGGGACTCCACAATTACATGTTTGGGACAACAGTTCATATCTTAAAAGGCAATCCATTTAATCATCTAACAGTGAGCTTCCTGAATATTGGATCACTCTTATTAAATTGTTTAAGTAAATTGGATTTGTTTATGATTTAACATTAATATAAAATTTTATAACATATATTTTTATGATAATTTTATGTTCCTTTAATTAATTTAAATTCTTGACTTCTTATTCTAAATGTGTTTAAAAAATGTAACTTATTTTGTATTTATGTTCTGATCTTAATCCATTTTTGTTCAGTTTAGAACAATAACATTCAAAATTATTTACATCATTAGCTTAAAGTACTCTTAATTATATTTATACTGTTTGATTGTTTGAATATGTTTTATAGTTTTTAATACTATAAGATAGCTAAGTACTTATTAATTAAATAGCTTTTGGTATATAATTATGGTATTTTTTAGTAATATTTGTAAATATTTATCTTTTAAAATAATTTTGATATATTATTTTTAAAAGATAAACATTTACGAATACATGCATACCTCATGTTACGTACATAATGCATACCATCAAATAGTGGTTGTATTGTGAATTGTCATTTCCCATATATTTACATACATTTTATTTTAATTAATTCATACATGTATGTTAAATTTAATAATAATAATAATCTTTATTAGCATAAAGGGAAGTGTCCCTGTTGCAGGGGGCCATACAATGGGATATTATAAATTTTTAGTAATATTTACATAATATACAGGATATCAGTATCAAACAATTTGATAGTTATAATAATATTATTTACATTAACAGTCAGATGTACAATGTTGGTAATATTTAATATACTGGCTCAGATTTACAACATTTTTGTGATTTCAATGAAAAAGTTATACAGACTGTAGAGATCTTTTTTATTCAGTTCAGACTGTTTAAAATATTTCTATAATCTTGAGATGAGTCGTTTTGGAGTATTCNATAAAGTTCTATAAACGACATGTGGATGACATAATTATACTATACGACCAAGAAATAATAAAATTAAGATAAAAAATAAACAAATTAAATGATAATATTAAATTTAAGGTAGGAAATGAGTCAAACACAAAAAAAACAACCTCGACATTAAAATAACCAGAAAGGCAAAGAAGATTGAATTCGAGCCATACACAAAACCATGTGAGATTAGAAAAGTGTTAAACTACAATTCAAACATCCCACTATACAAAAAAGAAAACATATTCATCGTGGAGTATAAAAAAAATCGAGAACAGAACAAGCTCGCTACAGAAAAAGAAAAAACATCTTAACGAACTGCGAACTAAATTCATATTAATTATAGTTTGAGTAACATTTTAGATTAAACGAAAAAATAAACACACATCGAATACAAAGTACATCGCGTGTTTCATAAACAAAATAATTTTAATTAAATCTTTTTCATTTATCTCAAGAAACGATAAATTTCTTTCAATATATACTGTATGTTTCGGAATTTCATGCATACGAAAAAATTTGCGGTTCTCTCTTTTAAAAACGGAAATTTAAATGAAACAATAATGTAAGATTTGTCTATACACCTGTATTATAACATGAAATAACAGAATGAAAATATGAGAGGTTTTGTTTTAAAAGATTACTTTAAGAAAACAACATACTAATTATTTGTATTACAAAATTTTAATTATTATCGAAAAAATAATAATAATACATACCAGAAAAATATACGAGAGAAAACACTAACTGTATCGAATGGGTTACTTTTCTCTTTCCTCTCCATTTTCTACTAATTTCTGCTGTCTACAATTTTCTGTACACTGCATCTGTTGAATTACTCATCAAATCTGGAATTCTATCAGATAATATATAATATTTATTTTAAAGTGTAAAGGTTTAGTGTGTTACTTGTGTTCAGAAAACCTTGAAGTTTCGTCAAGATGTAAAAACAGTAAAATTATGTTTTAAGAAAGATATAAATTTGTCATTGATATAATTTAAACTTAAATTTTTTATATATATTAAAACAGTACATATATATGCAAAAGAAAAATTATCTGAAGATTGATAAATAAATAAAAATTAATTACTTTTTATAGTAAAAGTTTTGTAATGAATTCCTTAACTTTTCGGCAGAAAAACACTAAGACATATTTTAACATAAATTTAAAATTTTATGCTGTACTATATGATATAAGTTAGTGTTATATAAGTAACCGTTATACCATTATTTATGATAATATGGCAACAAGCTTAATTATAAGGATAGAGATAGGTTTTTATTAGACAAAATACAAATTCTAGCAACGAGAAAATCTTGACTAAATGTAACCCCCTCGACGTAAGAACGACATCCCTTATCTTTCCACCCCTTCGACCTTTAACCACTAAGATGTAAGAGCGACGATTTCCGTTATATACAAGCTAACTTGCCAAATTTCGTTTTTTATCATTATTTCATCTCGAGATATGAGAAATATTAGACGAAATAGACAAACCAACACACGTACAGTACGTGTGCGCAAATGTATATATATATATATACGTAAGTGTGTATGTATATATATACACACAAACTTATCCCCGAAATATTTTTTTCGCTTATTCCGTTTTACTTCCCGGCTGTAAGGTCAGACTTAACGAAGATTGTACTCGTTATTAGAATTTACAGTTTTTTATAAAACTTATCTCTACTCTGAAAATTAAACCTTTTGCCATTTTATAATAGTTAAAAAATATAAAAAATTTATTTTAATAAAATATGATAACAGTTGGAGCCACGAAAATTTTTAATGCTGCGGAGAATGTTGAGCAACTCGTTGCTAGTTTATTTTGGGTTCTAAGCCTCAAAACATAAAAATTTGCAAAATACACAAAGTTGATAAAATTTGACACGATTTCAATACTTTCCCGTGCTATACAAGTCGAAAAAAGAAAAGCTAGCAAGCAATCACTTCGATTCGAATTTAAAGGAAGTCACGTGTTACTGCAAATAAAATATCATTTACATTATCTGAATGAATTCTCTAAATGTTCGGGTACATTGGATAATGACAGTTACAATGCATTATTTATTTAAAAGGAATTTATCGTCATTATCTCTATCCAAATTTTAAAAGCAATTTATTTTATTTAAAATATAAGACAAAGAAGACAATATGTTAAAATGTTAAAATTTATGTTAAAATATATCTTAGTGTTTTTCTGCCTAAAAGTTAAGGAATTCATTACAGTACTTTTACTATAAAAAGTAACTAATTTTTATTTATTTATCAATCTTCAAATAATTCTTTCCTTGCATATATATGTACTGTTTTAATATATATATATATAAAATTTAAATTTAAATTATATCAATGACAAATTTATACTTTTCTTAAAACATAATTTAACTGTTTTTACATCCTGACGAAACTTCAAGGTTTTCTAAACACAAATAACAGGCTAAACCTTTACACTTTAAAATAAATATTATATGTTATCTAATAGAATTGTAGATTTGATGAGTAATTCAACAGATGCAGTGTACAGAAAATTGTAGACAGGAGAAATTAGTAGAAAATGGAGAGGAAAGAGAAAAGTAACCCATACGATACAGTAGGTGTGTTTTCTCGTATATTTTTCTGGTATGTATTATTATTATCATTTTTTCAATAATAATTAAAATTTTGTAATTCAAATAATTAGTATGTTGTTTTCTTAAAATAATCTTTTAAAACAAAACCCTAATCTTTTCAATCCGTCATTTTATGTTATAATACAGGTGTATATACAAATCTTATATTAATTTTCCATTTATATTTTTGTTTTTAAAAGAGAAAACCGCAAATTTTTTCGTATGCATGAAATTCCGAAACATACAGTATATATTGACAGGAATATATCGATTTTTGAGATAAATTAAAAAGATTTAATTAAAATTATTTTTTTGTTTCTTTTGCAGACACACTAAGGTGACATATTTCAACACTTCGCAAATTATTCACTATTTATTCAGTTGGTTTTTTTTATCATTTTTTTTTATATTGAACTGTACACATGTTTTTTCCTTTCTTTTGGTCAATAACTGCCGTTTCTATATTAACAATTTCGTTTGATTCTGATGAAACCGTGTTGTTGTTATTATGCTGTTTCCTTTGCAGACACACTAAGATGACAAATTATTTACTATTTATTCAGTTGAATAAATAGTGAATAATTTGCCAAGTGTTGAAATATGTCACCTTAGTGTGTCTGCAAAGGAAACAGCCTAATAACAACAACACGGTTTCATCAGAATCAAATAATATTATTTTGTTTATGAAACACGCGATGTACTCTGTGTTTGATGGGTGTTTATTTTTTCGTTTAATCTAAAATATTATTCAAAGTATAATTAAAAAGTTAATTTGATCAATTATGTTAAAGTTATTATTTCATGTACTGAGAATTTTTATCATTTATATTATTACCACTCAAACAATTTACGAACGTTTTATGTAGCTCATGACTTGAAGTTATCACATAAGTGAGTAGTTTAGCCTATAAATACCGATTCTGACTCACTAATGTAAATGATTTACAATCAAAAAATTTCAAATATCGTTAAAAATCATTCAAAATCAAGCAAAAACTGTTAAAAAAATCAGAAAATCAAGTAAAAATAAAAAAAATCAACAGCCTATAAAATAATGATTAATTTACAAACTCAACGATATGCTCTTTATTCGCATTCCACAATCTTTCATACCTCTGTATACAAATTTTAAATCACTCGTGTTGTATAAATACTCTATACGCTTATTCATTATTTTTTTATTGAATCGATCTGGCAGATAAACTTGAAATTCGTTCCATTCAGTGTCCATGAGAATTACTAATTTTTTTTATCACCGTAGCGTGTGTGATTTAACATTACGAACTCGATATTCGTTATCAATTCTCAGTTCGTTTAATTTTCTTCTGGGAGTATTTTGAAGTTTACCAATATTGTTTAGTTTATTAAGAGTCTCCATTTATATAGCAGAAAATTCAAAGAGTATAATTTATAAATATTGAAATACTATATCTCATCATTACATTAAGATTATTATCCCTGAGATTCTCTTCATTATCTGTAGTTTTAACTGTAATAATATATCTTACATTGAATGGAATAATTTTATTTATAACTATATAAGTATCTCCTATGTTTATTGTAAAAGAAAGTACTAATTTATTACTGATAAATATACCTATAGATACATTTAATAATGGCATATTGTTTGCTAAATAAATCTTACTAATAAATTCAGATTCTAACACGTATTTTTTTATCATAATTTTTTATATCACTTTCACCATTAGGAACATCGCCTAAGGTTAAATAAAACTTGTAACTTTCAAGAGGCAACGTATGTGCACCCAAATCTATAAGACCCCTTAAGATGAATGAATGGTTACTTGAAGCAAATAAACCATTTTTCTGTTTTTTTTAATTATATTGTTTGGATTTTCATTAATTTTGAAATAATTTTCAAGATATGATTTTGTAACAGCATCTGTCTCTATAATTAGATTTTTTACATTAGTTATTCTTTTGTTATCAGAATCATAAAAATCATTTTTCAACAAAAGAGCTGGAGGTACTGTACTATACATATAATATATTTTAAGTTCTAGAAAGTATATTGTTCTCTTTTTTATCAACTTAGCTAAGATTAAAGGATGATTATCTACATACAATTTTGTAGCAACTTCAAATTCTGAAGTAGGTCGTGAAACGTTTATTATTCTCTTATTATTAGCAACAAACGCTTCATCCTTTAAAACAATTGAATTATTCTCTAAATATCTTCTATTTACAACAATTTTGTCTTCCGTTGGATCATCAACATTACCAATTCTTCTGTTTTTTGCATTGAAAGCACCATTATGTAATTTAAGACATTTACTATCTAATGTCTGAAGTTTTTCACTCGTTTCTGTTATGAAATTATTAACGCTTAAATTTAAATCATGTTTTTTGTAAATAAGTTTTATCAGTTATGTGATTTTCTTTTAAAAATTTCAATTTATTAGCATTTTCTTTAGCAAAAGCTTGAAAATCTTTATTTAATTCAATGATTATTTTTAATCAATGTTCTAATTTATTATCAATATATTCATTGGTTGCAGCATCGTTTTCGTCTATTGGATGTTTACAATATTTTGAGATCTTATTTTGCATATCATAATTTCCATCATACGTTAATTTGAAACCATTACCCGGAAAACCTTCTTTTACTTTATCATAATAATGACCAAAAGGAAACCAAGCCATTTAATCTTAATTAAGTCCAATTGTAACATGTGTCTCGCCTAGAGAGGGAGAAATGGTGAGAGAGGGAAAATTTGTGCCCTGCCATTTGTGAGAGTAGCTGGGGTACTCTGATCCGCTAAGGATGGTTCGTACCACTTAATCGGCACAGATTATCAGAAATCTGTCTCCAAAGTTTCGGATCGAGAGATCCGATCTTAAAAGTTCTTATAGGATAGCTGTACTATTCGATCCTAATCGCGAGATTCGGATCTACGTCAGGATTCCTGTGACACCAGTTAATCAATCTTATAACACGCGGATTAACACACGTAAAGTAATCTTATTACGATTCAAATTAAGAGCCATATCTTATATAAAACAAACAAGAGTATATTTAATGATCCAATATAAATAAAACTAATACAAATATCAATGAACGAGGGATATAAATACGATAATTAAGACACACGTCGAGATAAATACGAACTATATTATAACCTATACGAAAGGTTCAGAGATATATGGCCTTATATCTAACCGATACACGTTTCAGAGA